TTTCGGTTGATAATAATAATACTGTTTCTATCTATAGGCAATAGTAGATTCTTACTTTACCTTTTTTAGCAGAAATAATAAATTCCTATTTTATTGGTCGATATATTCTTATTTTATTCGTATATTAGATGTATTTCCATTTTGGAGGTATTAGTAGATATCTGAATTACTAATTGAGATAACAATAAATTTTTATATTATTAAAATATTTCAGCGTTCATATGAAAATCAATAGTGAGAGTAAAAGCTTCTTTTCTTTTGTCACAGATTTCAAACGGCGCCACTGTACGAAACTTTTTCTTTGCAATAAATGTCGAAAAAAATATTTGTGCCAACGAGTCCATGCGTAATCCTTGACCAATTCTCACGAATAAGGTCACATTTTAAAGATAAGGATTTAAGGGAGGACTCTGCTTGCTTGAATTTTTGAAAATGCTTTATTTTTATGCAGAAACTATTGTCAAAAGAACACCATTTTATTATACGATTCTTTTTAAAGAAAATAAAGTTTTTTCAAAAGTTCTTGGTTAAACTTTCATATTTAAAATGAGACCTTGTTCATCAAAATAGTTCAAGAATTATGCCTTTACTAATTGTTGGCGTAAACTATTATAAAACGAGGAATGATAAAGTCTTTGTTTAAAATCGATGTTGACATGTTATCTTTTTATTACCTTATGGTGGCAGCACTGTCTTCGAGCTTTCGTGACAGATGCATCCTACATACATCCTACATACACGTTCGATAACGAAGTTGAGTTTTCTGAATGCAAATAAATCCATACGCGATATTGCTGTCTAAGGTGGTTGTTATACATACATATATATGTATTTCTTTAAAAATATAATTTTTCATTGTTAGATAGTGAATAAAGAAATTATATAGAATGTGTTTTACGATGTTTGTGTTAAAGCTAATTCTAAGTTTATTCTAACCTTATTAGAGCTATGTTTACATGAAAGAAAAATTATAGATTCATTATATTTTAATATTTTTAAATATTTTTTAAATATTGATATTAATAATAATTTATTTATAATGTCTATGAATTAAATTATACTTTTGCTTTACATTAACTAAACAAAAAGTTACATATTCGTGCTTTTATTAAGAGGTTAACCTTACAATTAATAGTTGGTGCTTTCTTTTTATTCTCATTTAATTTTAATAGAAATAATTATGAGTTATCACCGTGGTGGTGGTAATAAGCCCAAGGGTTTTGGCTTCCCTGGTTTTCAAATGACAGGAACCAAACGAAGTGGTTCCAATATACCTCCTCCTCCACCAAATTCAGTATTAAGTAAACAGGGGTATCACACTATGAATTCTATTACTGAAAATGCTTTATCTGCTTGTTGGGGTATGCCAAAGAAACGTAGCAAGACAGAAGAAGAGTAAGTAAAATGTTACATAATTGAAAGTTATTATAAATGTGCATCTTATTATCATATTCGTATAACAGATATTTTGAAGATGATGATGATCCTCCTACATCTTCCTTGGAATATATACCTGCACCTGGATCACCAACGTATGACTTAATGAAAAAGTCAACACCGAAAGAAGACAGCGATAGCGAAGAAGATCCTTTAGATGCTTTTATGGCAGGTATTGATGCAGAAGTTAAAAAAAACAATTATGAAGCTCAGCTAGCAGAAGAAGATCGTAAAGAAGACAAATCTAAAGGATTTAGAGCAGATATAGATGGGGAGGATGATGAAGAGAGCTATTATAGGTAAAGAGCAAGCTATTGAATTTTTTCAGAAAAATAGCAAAGAAGAATATCAAATAGTGATTACTAATTTTATAAGGTACATGGAAGAAAATCCTACTGCTGGATTACAACAAGAAGAGTCCGACCAGGAGATCGAATATGACGAAGATGGAAATCCTATAGCACCTCCCAAGAAAAAAGAGATTGATCCATTACCAGCAATTGATCATAATGAAATAGAATATGAGTCTTTTGAAAAAAATTTTTATAATGTACATGAAGAAATTGCAAATTTAAGTAAGCAACAAATTGATGATCTAAGAAAGACTTTGGGTATAAAAGTATCAGGACCTTCGCCACCGAACCCTGTCACTAGTTTTGGACATTTTGGATTTGACGATGCTCTAATAAAAGCCATTCGAAAGAATGAGTATACACAACCCACACCAATTCAAGCTCAAGCTGTCCCTGCTGCTTTAAGTGGGAGAGATATTATAGGCATTGCAAAAACTGGTAGTGGAAAAACAGCAGCTTTTATATGGCCAATGTTAGTTCATATCATGGACCAGCGAGAGCTAAAAACTGGAGATGGTCCTATTGGTCTTATTTTGGCACCAACTAGAGAATTATCTCAACAGGTGACTTAATTTTGTACATAAATGAAGATATAATCACAATATATTTATATAATTGAAATAAATATAAATGATGTTCTATTTAGATTTATCAAGAAGCAAAGAAGTTTGGTAAAGTATATAACATACAAGTTTGCTGTTGTTACGGAGGCGGTAGTAAATGGGAACAAAGTAAAGCTTTAGAAGCTGGTGCTGAAATAGTTGTTGCTACTCCTGGTAGAATGATTGATTTGGTTAAAATAAAAGCAACAAATTTAACAAGAGTCACATTTTTGGTATTAGATGAAGCGGATCGAATGTTTGATATGGGATTTGGTAAGTATATTTAATTAAATTAAAATTAAAATCAAATTTTCGTTTGCTAATTCATTAATGCCTCTTTTACAGAGCCTCAAGTACGGTCGATATGCAATCATGTTAGACCAGACAGACAAACGCTACTTTTCAGCGCCACATTTAAGAAGAAAGTTGAAAAACTTGCTAGAGATGTTTTAACAGATCCAGTAAGGATAGTTCAGGGAGATGTTGGAGAAGCTAATACAGATGTAACACAACATGTTATAATGTTTCATAATAATCCTTCTGGGAAATGGTCTTGGTTGTTACACAATCTTGTAGAGTTTCTAAGTACTGGAAGTTTATTAATTTTTGTGACCAAAAAGGTAAGAGCATTGGATGTATTATTTCATCATTAAATATAATAATGAGTACACGCATATCTAATTTTTTTTTTTTTATTAGTTAAATGCAGAGGAGCTCGCCAATAATCTCAAGTTAAAAGAATTTGATGTTCTACTTTTGCATGGTGATATGGACCAAATAGAGAGAAATAAAGTTATCACAGCGTTTAAAAAAAAGGATGTCAGCACCTTAGTAGCTACTGATGTAGCTGGTAATTTAATTTCTTTTTTTTTTTTTTTTTTTTTTTTTTTTTTTTAATATATATTTTCTTAATAAAAATGATTATAATAAAATTATTTTATCTTAGCACGTGGTTTGGACATTCCACATATAAAGACAGTAGTGAATTATGACGTAGCACGTGATATTGATACGCATACTCATAGAATAGGTAGAACAGGTCGAGCAGGAGAAAAGGGTACTGCATATACTCTTGTTACGGAAAAAGATAAAGAATTTGCTGGTCATTTAGTAAGAAATCTCGAAGGTGCAAATCAAGAAGTTCCTAAAAGCTTAATGGATTTGGCCATGCAAAGTGCTTGGTTTAGAAAATCTAGATTTAAAGGTGGAAAAGGTAAAAGTTTGAATGTTGGTGGTGCTGGACTTGGTTTCAGAGAAAGACCTGATACTTCAACGAATACGGTATTTATCGATTCTTTTAAATAATATATGAATAAAATCATGATTTATTCATTATAGAGTTCGTTATTAAATGACTTTTAATTTCAGACTAGCGGCACTTCGCAAGGATCCAAAGATATAAGTGAAGTTGTTAAAAAATTAGAAAGACACGGTCCAGGCAGTGATCGTCTTTCTGCTATGAAAGCTGCTTTTCGAAGCCAATATAATTCACAAGTAAAATAACATACTCTTGTTATATTCTCTATTAATATTTATTGTACTCGCTATAAATGGTCATTTACTTGAATTTTTTATTTATTTTAGTTCCGAGCATCGTCGGATCATACGTGGGAACAAACTATTACACCACCTTCGGTTATAATGCCTCCACCACCTCCAGTGCCGCCAAAACCTAGTATAGATCGACCTAAGGACAACCAAACCTCAAATTCTTCTGAATCAGACAACAAAATGGAACGAAAAAGACTACGAAAAAGTCGTTGGGAATGATAAAAATATAATTATGCACCCATTATTTTGTGATCGACTGTCATAATATGAAAAAATTGTTTTATATTACAATAAAATTTAATTTTATCGCGAATACCTTACGATATATAAACGCATATTTTATTCATTATTCGTAATTCATTTCGTATTTTGCGTTGTTGTAAATCTATTGTATATAAATAAGTGTCGATCGATGATAACATTAGTCCTATATTTGTTACTATCAGCAAAACATTTCTAAGATAATTATATTAGCACCGAATAAATGGATACTTGAAATCTTTAAATATTATGTAATTCTATCTTTTATTGTATTATAAAAATAATTTTCAAACTTATGCGCTTCATTTCATTCATTTTCTTTTCATTCACGTTGAAAATAGGTACAGCTATTGATGAAAATGAATAAACTTAAAATAATTTATTTTATAACATATGCGATTTATTTAATATTTTAATATTTTCGGTTTACATGCGTACATGTTCGATAAAAAGCATATTTATTTTATATACGAAGTTTAGATAATCATTTATAGCACTATTCATGCGATATAAATACTTAACAATTGCTAAAATGTATTTATTCTTGCGATATTGAAGTTTTTTTTCGGATTATAAAAGACAATCAAAATTCTAGCTAAGGTATAGCAAGGCATTAATAAAACAAATATATTATAGAAAAGCATATTCTTGCGCGTGAATACGTACCGTTTTTGATAAAATTATTATGGTTAAAATAAATTTCCAATGTGCCTTATATCAAGCGTATTCAAAATTCTTCGAGTCTGAAATTTTCGTAACAATCGCATAGTTACTTTCTTATGTAAAAACATCCATAGGTCTTGCACTTACGTCTTCCCAAACGTATGCACGTTCGGCCCTCCATTTGCTTAGAATGAATCATCTCGTAATTATCCCAACAAGGACTTATGACTATGATCACCTAGTCACAGTTTTCTCAATAACCCATTCTTTACTGAGACACCTAATTATATACATACGTATCTAGAATATATTCTGTTTCAATCTGGAGCAATGAATTTTCTGCTACCTTGTGGAAAACGAACGGGATCTTTCGTATGTAATCGAGGAAATACTGCATAATTCGATGTTATAGAAATTGTAATAGATTTTCCTGATTATACGATTTTGATACGATCGTAATTTTTCCCATAAACGGAATCTCGCAAAAATATATCTGCCAATCTCTTCTCACGGAACGTCCTCCAAGTTCCGACAAAGCGTAACGAACGATACTGATTCTAGATGCTTTACTAACGAAACAAAAAAAATAGCTCTTCGTGCTTGCTCGATATGGAGATTATACCAAGGATAAGTTCGAGATGATAAATCACGATCAATGGCCTTTGTAGTGCCGCGAAATAATCGAGCAGATCGTCGTAGAAAAGACATCTATAAATTTATATTATCGGTAACGATTTGAAACGATTTCGTTCGCGCTTCGATACGCTTTAAATAAAAATCATATAGCGTATTGTAATGCTTTTTGATCTTTCCTCTTTTGACTGGCAGTGTTGTCTCCTCTTCGTGGAAGTTGTAGATTATAAGACGATAATCTTAAATCCTGTAAGCGAAAATTTGATATTTCCAGTTTTTATCACTACCATCTTGAGAGTGACGCGATAACAGATATATATACGTGTATTATCAAATCCTACTTTTCAGTCTTTCGTACGAGCGATTTTATTATGGTTTTAAGGATTAACGCATTGAGGCATCGTTGGAGTGCTCTTCCTCCTGATTTTTTCAATATTCGTCGATAACAAATTCATTGATTTTTTATTACAATCGTTTTTTCCTGTAAATCTTTCCATAGCCCTAGTGTATGATCCGGTACATACCTTGCCCCATAGTCTCTTGTCTTCTGTGTTTTGTTTGCCCTTTGTTTCGTTTGAATCTATTTCCTTTTTCTTTTGATTCCTATAATTGTCTGTTTTTTCCAAAGAAACGTTTGATCCTGGCGTCGTTATAACATCTTCCCAAGATACATTCGTATCTGATTGAACACTAGATGGTGTCGGACAACTACTATCACTTGATAACGAAGATGACCTGACAAAGGAAGGTGGGACTATCAATTTTACCCGATCCTCGATCTGAGAGATATTAAATGGTAATTCATTTTTCGGAGAACGAAAACTCATTCTATTATCTTTCTCATCGTTGACCATGGAATCTAAGTTCTCATGCGACGTCAAATTATCATTGACTATGATCTTTGCTATTGATGTTCTTTTTCTAAGATTTTCCATGTTTTCTTTCGGTGTACTTTGAAAATTATCGACCCTTAGAAGTATATCCTCCAAGTTAACGTTAAGAACATTGATGTTACTCGATTGCGCTGATTTTGTCAATTTTTTTTTATCTATTTTTACATTTATATTCGAAGCTATTTTATCGTTGCAAGATGTTTCTAGCATTTCCTCTTTTGTGTGATTCGTTAATTCCGGATAAATGTAATTAGGCATTCTTTCTTTTTGACGAATTGAGCTCGTCATTTTGACAAACGCAGAGATCTTCTTTTGCTTTTCGCTTTTTGATTTATTGGCAACTTTGACGCATTGCTTGTACTTCTCGTCGATGGTAGTATCAATACTATTTTTTATACCGATGCTTCCCGTAAAGTCAACATCTGTGGACCAATTTCCGAAAATTAAATTATCCTGTTTTTTATCACACGTTTCATTAACGATATCAGCGCTTTTATGAGTCTTATCATTCGAAATCTGCTCGGATTTTACCTTATTCAAAGTTTCTTGCTGGCTATCTTCGTCGTCGTCATTATCAAATTCGTTTTCAAAATTCTTAAGGACACCTTCATTCTTCTCGTTTCTCTTTCTCAATTCCTCCCAATTCTTTCTAGGTTTGTAACTCGTCTTTCGTCTTACTATCGTACTCTCTGTAATATCAATATCAGGTATGAAAAGACGCAGGGCCTTGGTGCCGGTTGGAAACGTTACCTCGTTGATTCGTTTCTCGCTCATAATCGCTTCTAGGCTACTTTTCGAGGCGATCTCTTGATGTTTGTTAAAAGCAGAGACCAATTGAGCAACCGTATATTTAGGTTCCTCGGTTTCTGACTCGGTCGAACGATCTTCTTTGTCATCCGAGATCCCAGAATTGTTGGAATGGCTAGATACGTCCGAGTGTTGTCTTTGACACAGACGTTTTCCCAAGGACATATTCAACTCTCTTTCACGATCCAAAGGCATCTCGTCGGATTCTTCCGTTAGAGTGTCTGATTCGATAGATTTCAAGGAGTCTAGATTTTCTTCCGACCTCGAGTTCGACTCTTTCGACGTTTCCGAATGATCATATGTCTTTTCTGCGCCTATCGAATCCAATAAGATCGCATGTTTTTCCACAGACTTTTTCTCTTTCGAGTTATCTACGATCTCGGATACAACCGGCTTCTTCAAAAGGGATCCATTCGTTTGCCGTTCCAAGTTTATCGAAGAAGTATCACGAGTTGTTTCTTGATTATTATTGATTCTCGATATTTCTACATCGATTCGTTTGATGACAGGAACAACGTCCTCCGTTTTGGCTCTTTCGTAGGGCTTTCTCTTACGTCTGAGACATTCCAAACTTCTATATATGTCGAGAACACCCTGAGATTTTGATAGCGATCGCAAACCATATAATTTTTCTCTCGATCTGCTAACAGGATGCATAGAGGCGATCATATGCTGAACTGGAGACGCAGTAGTCTTCGAAGTACCGTTTGATAGACATGTTTGAGATTGTATACGATGTAGGCTACGTATCCTGGATAAAAGGCCACGACTAGCGGCATGATTCAAATTAGCTTGAGATCGGCTTTGAGCTCGACTGAGCAAACCCTGCGTTTGTTCCTTGTTCAGCAAGCAACTTTGGCTGGCGCAACTCAGGCTCGTTCGCGATGAGTTCAGACTCACTTGGGAATTCGCCGGACTCGGGAAACCTTCGCTTCCAACGAGACTCGATCGACTTGCCGTCATACAGTCGCTTAGGCAAATCTCGCTATGACTCAACACGCAATGTTGAAGATTTTGTTCGTGAATGTCCGTCGATAGAAGATTCGCTTGACTCGTTGTCTGACTTAAGAGGGCAACTCTCCTTAGATTATCTCGGGTCACGACACGTTCCAGAAGAACCTCACGAGATTTCGACAAGTATCGTCGCAAATGTGGTGACGCTTGCGTCGGTGCACCGCGCAACCATTCGTGACGCAGACACTGCTTCGCTGTCATCCGTGCGCTAATGAGAAAGGAAAGAGAAAAAAGAGAGGACAGGAAAGAAAAAAAGAAAGAGCAAATCGTTAAAGGTTTTTCGAGGTTCGAATTAAGTTCGATGATGCGTGGTTGAGAGACTAACCTTGGATCTAGCACTAAAAGTTTAGCAACGAAGTCCTTTGCCTGTGTTGAAACCTCCTCGAATAATTCTTCTGGGAAATCTACCTCTCCTAGGGATATATTTTGAAACGTTTCTTGGTCGGTGTCGCCTCCGAAAGGGGAGAAACCTGTTAGCAGCACGTAGGTCGTAACACCAAGAGACCTGGAATATTATATGTAACACGATTTCAAAATCTTTCCTTTTTATATTGTAAAATATTTATTATAGATTGATATTTTTCACTCACCACATATCGGCGGCCAACGTGATTGGCTGATAGTGTAATATTTCTGGCGCTGTAACAAAAATCCAATAGAAGTTTTAACAGAACATTGATTACTTCGATTTACGAGTCGAGGGAAGAGGTTTATTAATGAAAAAACATCGATCTTTGCTTTGTGAAATCGAATAAATCTGCGTATTGCGTTCTACGAATGCAAATACATGTGTTACGTTTACGGATACAAATTACCTAGTCCAACGGCCTCATTTGTACTTGCTCAATTTATTTGCGAAAAATGTGTCACGTAGAAATCTGTATTTGGGTAAGGATAAATGTCTTACGTGTGCGGATCCACTGTAGATTTAGTATCTCTTTTGTTATGATTACATTTATCCATCACTTATATACTCTGGTATACATGTAATTAAAATTTAATGTCATTTTCTCTCGTAAGATTTCGTAAAAATATTAAATATTCGTAAAAATTAATCGGGAAATTTCAAAAACGTGCGATTTCGATCAGCATTCCCATAAATTCTCGAGAGACCTTAAAAAATTGATTAATCGATCCACTAACGTGCTTTTAATCGAATCACTTTACTCTCTACTTCTCCTCCTATCAAATTATCTTGTTACAGTAATATTCATCGATCAAGCCCTTCTATTTCATTTTTCATGTTATCGTGTCATATATTATACTTCTCTCTTTCCATATATTACATTTACTATTCTGTAGTTCATAAAATACATGTACATAAATTCATCAAATCGTAATTATATACACGAATACAAAATATTTCAATGGCTATTTCTTTATAGTCAATTTTCCTGATAATCATGATCTTTTCAAGAAAAAATGCAAAAAGTTTTTACCTCGAAAAGATCATTTAGCATAAAGACCATTGCAATGTAACGCGTAAGCGTTTTGTTAATTGAAATGCTAATTGAAATACGACAAAGGTTGATTTAATCAGCCGAGTCGGGCGTGATCGAGATCGAGATTTGCGATAAAACGTACGATCGTCTCTCGCGGCTTTCGCTCCATAAAGACTTTTTTAGAATCCTGTCAATGTTGAGTAGAACATCTTATCAAGGAAATCGAGATAGATCTCGTTCTCGTTTCTCGTAAACGCGGAGGAATTAACGTCGATTATATTGTTGAATGCAAAATAGCTTGGAAATATGGTCGACGGTAAGTCGTGTTGATCGTTTAAAAAAAAGAAAGAAAAGAGAGAGAGAGAGAGAGAGAGAGAGAGAGAGAGAGAGAGAGAGAGAGAAAGAGAGAAACTCTTGACACGTTCTTCGAGTTTCTTCATACTCGTGAAAAATATCAAGAATGAGTTTGTCGAAAGTTCATAAACATGAAGCCGACCGAGGTTAACGCGTCGATTAATATCGATTATATATTTTCGATCGTTCGTCCGCCCGAGATCGCTAATGAGTCGATCCGGATAATGATCGGCGCCGATTAAACCAAACGCCAAGCGTGTTTCGCAAAATGCCGATGCACCTGCCGGACTCTTGCGTGTAAACGCGATATCAAGGAAAACATGAGTAGCATTGATCACTTCGAAAGAAAAACAACTAATTCTAATTCTAATTCTGGAATTATCAAAATGATTATATTTAAATATACCTACGTATATGTATATAAATACAAATATATCTAATATATTGTCCAATTGATATAGATATATATTATATATAATAGATATCGTTTCTTTTCTCTCATTTCTTGTTCATTTATTTTTACCTCGTATAAAATCGAATAAGCGATTATTCATTTTATTAATATCTACTGTACTGTTCTTATGTAACGATTGCATTACTCCGTGATCGTGAGTGAAATTGAGGACGTATGTTACTCGGAATTTCCTGGACAAGAACACTCCGTTGGCACGAAAAATATATGACGTCGACTTTTCTCTTTGGAATAAAACGAATCGAATAAACGTCGACCCAGATAAATTCCCGGAAAAAAGCTTAATGATAACCAGACATAGTGAAAAAATAAATTGTGCCCGGTAAAATTTTCTTGTTTTGAATGTATACATGAAAATAAGTATTGTCGCCTGCCGAAAATGATCGTCGGGAGAAGTAAGAAAAAATCTTCATGTTCTTTTACAAATGGAATTTCGTTATACATGCATATATTTATATAATGTTAAGTTTTAAAATCGAACATTTTCCGATCTAAATATTATAACACTTAATATATTCCTTTCGCAATTCGAAATGCTTTGAATATTTTGTAAAATTCTTATTTACTTAAAACATTATATAACACATATTTACAACACGATCAGCAATAAATCGATCATAAACATGATCGAAGAAATGTTGCTCACCCACATAGTCAGGCGTCCCAAGAATCTCACGAACTTCCGTGCCTTCCAGAATGACCCTCGATATCTCGAAGTCGCAAAGTTTCACGTCGCATTCCGGGAAAGTGCCCATCATCACGAGATTTTGTGGCTATAAAAAAATTACGTAATAAATATTGCTTTAAATCAAACAACTGTTTATACCTAAAGCAATAATATTTAAGTGAAACTACTAATATATCTAATAAAAATCTCATAAAAATGTAAACGACCATTTTATTTGTAAACCTATGATATTTAAGTGAAATTATTAATATGTCTAATAAAAATCTCATAAAAATGTAAAAGTTTTTGAGAAAATTATTAGTATCGAAACACATAGATATTTTTCGTTATTAGAGAGTCAAAGGAACTTTTAGAAAAGAGATTTCGTATTATCTCGACGTCTTTAAAATTGCCGATAGAAGAACTCTCGAATTTCCTGTTATTCGAGGCGCGTAAGTATCCGATATATAAATCACAGAGGGAGCTATCGAAAAGGGCAAAAGAATTCTGTAGGCCCGACAGGTGGTCGTAAGTCGTTTTACTCGATACTGAGTACGACTCCGCATTTAAACGACGCTGACAATTAGCGAGTTAATCGCGTAATTGAGTGACGTTCGTTTGTACCGTCGACTTTGTACGATACGTACGGCGTACTTCGTACATTTATGTATATACGTACGTAACTATCTATGTATGTATGTACGAGTGGCTCTCAGTAGGACGTCCGATCCTGTATCGTCGCCAACAATGTTAAACGTCGAGAGTCAAATGCTAAAGAATAGAAATTCTTGCTGGTAAGTCGCCAGATTTCTCGCTATCTAGTATGCTTTTATTTTTTATTTTTCTTTCTTTTTTTTTCCCCCTTCTCTCCATGGAATTTGCACATATCTTATTTCGCAATGTAATAATAAAGATGAGATGACTTTTTTTCGATCAATCCTTGATACGCATTAAATATTATAAAGTCATTCGATAATTATCTTACCTTCATCGAAATCTTCGTTCGATTATTTACTCATTGAAAAACAATCGTAAGTTTGACAGGTTCGTAAACGAGACTTAACGCATTTCTCATTAACACGTATCGGAGGGGGAAAAAAGAGAGAAAAAGAAGGAAAAAATATAAGAAAAAAATATAAGAAAAAAGAGGAAAAGATATACTTTTTACTATTCACTAGAGACGAGATAAAACTCTTCGTGACATTTACATAAACACGGTAGATGCTGTTACGATAAATCCAAGTCTCTTACCCGATAGAATGGAATATTAAGTTTCCCCTGATACTGCCCACAGGCAGCTCGATGTGTTTCTCGTACAGCATACAACGTATGTACATATAACATAGTACGTTCGAAACGTTCGCTACCACCTCTCGCCATGACATGTACTAGAACGTATTTTTCAGTGCGAATTACCATGCTTGCACACTTATGCTTTATTCGCGCGACATGGCACGCATTTTAAAAAAGAAAGAAAGAAAGAGAGAGAGATATATATATAAAGAATTCAAGTTATCGTTTATATCTCGTGTTTCTATGCAACCTCCTATCTCTATGTAGGTACCTACATACGAATCCCATTATGGTTTCAGAGGCTAACTGTAACGCTTGGATCTTCAAAATTTTTTATATTTTAACAACGATATCACTATATAACATAAATCATTTCGTTGACCTTTCGTTGATCCTCTCTCGACGTAGTATCTCGTAATGAGTACGAAAGGGTTTCAGGGTCTTTGATCCAATTTACTCGCGACTCGATCATTCAACTTGTTTATTTATATACATAGTTATACATACATATATATATGTATATATATATATATATGTATATATATATATGTATATATATATATATATATGTATATATATATATATATATATATATATATATATATATATATATATATATATATACACCTATATCCCTATAAGAAACGCAAGAATCGATTCGAAGTTTTTTAATTTTCACAAGAAACTCCTTAATCGTTCGACCTTGAGCGATCGTCGTAGAAAGCGGGCCAAACCCGTCAATATAATGAATTTATTTTTAGCCTAATGCGATAGGGAGCGACAAGGGAGACGAACGATCCTGCTATATTCGACACGACGTTTTCGACACGAGAACATCTCCACGAGCCTTGGGAAAATTATGTGTGGGCGCGATTGAATATTCAAAGCTTTTCTTTCTCTTTCTCTCTCTTTCTCCCCCTCTCTCTCTTTCTTTCTCTTTTTCTTTTTCTTCTCTCTTTTTCTCTTTCTTTCTTTCGTGTTATCTGCCGTGTTTTTCGATCGGTAAATTACGACGAAAAGAGGAAAAGAAAAAAGAAATAAAGAAATAAAAAAAAAAAAAAAAAAAAAAAAAAAAAGAAAAGGACGAACCTGATCTCATCGCCAACTTTAAATCTTTTATTAAAGTATTCAGTTCCAATCGTTTACGAATGGAGTAAATATTTCAAATAAGTAGTCGAACGTACAAGAAGGATGTCACGTTCGATCCCACACAGCTAAATCTCATGAAACTCCCGTTTCTTGAAGAGTCGAAAAGAAGCGTGGGCTCTGACACGTAACAGAAGATGAACGAGTGTTTACTTTGATAAAAAAAAAGATGGGCTCGAAGGTGAAAAACGCGGATTTGAAAAACAAAATCCATCAACTTTTTTTCAATCAAAAAGTTGTAAAATTTTTTTTTATTTCTTAAAGAAATCTTGATGATAATTGAGTCGGTGATTACTAAAGTGATCTAACGATAAGTTTTAAATTTTGTGCTTGGAGATATTTGGAGATTTGAATTTGAATTATTTCAAAATTTTTTTTTCTACAATGACTGTCAAACAGAAAGTATTGTAGTTATATGTGTTTATTCTTGAATAATAATTCTTTCGTAAAAAATTTTTAAGAATGGCAAGTGTGAAAACATGCTTTTTAATATCTGAAATGATTTAGATCACTTTTATAATCACCGGTTCAATTATAAGAGTCGATCTTTCATTCATATGTATGCACATATGATCTTTCTCTTTCATCGGTCGAATAAATGGCAAGTGCAAATGCGTTTTAATCTCTTGATGAAATATAAAAATACTTTGGTATCATTGAAGCGACGAAGAGATAGTGGAACCTTTTATCTATTTTATGGTGAGGTTTAATGAGCTATTGGTAGATGCGAAATAAATGCGCTAATGTATGACCGATATAATCGACTTGTTTAATTCATTTTCCATGATTCTCTCTCTCTTTTTCTAGTAAATAAATGTCGCGAGATAGAGAGGAGGTGCTCTAGTTACAGTAAACAGGTTGTTCGTTCATTAGTGCTTTTACCAATACAAGATCATGATTCACCGAATGTATTTTAGAACATGATTGATCCTTTATCTTTTATTCTGTTAGATTTTTCCCAAGAGAAGAAACGTTCAATGAGAAAATGTTTCATTTTTCATTTTCTTTTATCTTTCTTTTTCTCATTTTTTAATCAGGAACAACCGTTTCGATTCCAATCATTAGATTTTCGTATTTGACTTACCGATCACTCTTTTCGTTAACGAACAAACAAATGAAACCTTTTTTTAAGCAAATAATTCTTTTTAAAAACAAATTATTATTTGTTTTTACAGATATTACCAAAGGAAATTTTACACAATGGAAAAAGAAAGGAACAATATCTGTAGTAGTAACATCCTGATAATTAAGATATCCTGAATATTAAGATAGTTTCTGGTAAAATTTTTAACAGATAATAATTGAAATTACTTTCGCTTTTATTACAAGTCTACGACATTAAACGAAAAGTGATCTGAAAGAGAAGATCTCCCGGGTTGTTTTTCTCGTTGATTTTATCAAAAGGCGTGCTCCAGTTATGGCGGTCGAGCGCAAACGACGGCCGACGCGATGAGGAGATAGGAACCAGGTGTGATTCACCGGGTATATCGAGAGGAAAGAGAGAGAAAAAGAGAGAGAGAGAGAGAGAGAGAGAGAGAGATAGAGAGAAAGAGAGAGAGAGAGATAGAGAGATAGAGAGATAGAGAGAGAGAGTCAAAGAATGAGTGAGAGAGATAGAGAGAGAGAGTCAAAGAATGAGTGAGAGAGAAAAAGAGAGAGAATGAAAGAGAAGTAGTCGACGTTGGCACAGGGCGTGGTCGTTTCGAAGAGAGCGTGGGGTCCAGCGCGTGCATCGTTTTTCTATCTGAGAAACGCAAACTCGAACACGGCAGCGCACGTTCTCTCGTGCGTTCGTAAGGAGCTCAAAAGCAACGAGATATCTAATCTGCGTATGTATCTGGCGTGGATCTCGTGTAGGGGCTGCGCCGAGTCACAGCGCAGCAGGAAACGAAGCTCGGAAACGAAACGTGGGCGATATACAAGCTTTCTGTCCCACCACTTTCGGTCTCGTTCACCTGACGAGATCCTCGATTCTTTCTTCTCCTTTCCACCATTAAAAACGACTCTGTTTACGAGCTGTAACGAATCAGGTTTCAGTACAAATTTCGAGGACAAACGTGTGTAATCGTTTTACTCGTTACAATCTTTAAGAGAGTGCAAAGATCTCGATTTGTTCCAGACCTAAAGAGTTTATTGCACTTGCAACATTTCTGGTTTTATTATTTTTATTCTTTTTAAAGAGAATAGGCTTGGTTTCGTAATTTTTGCGAGACTATAAAATGATTTGCTTTTTCCTTATTTCGTCTATACAAATATGTTTGCTTGAACGCATATGCAATGTGATATTCGTATTTATCCGGCAATAAGGAACAAGATAAGAATTCTTGAGAAAAAGAATATTTTGCCAGTTCTTTCATGTCTCTTTCAGCGAGTAATATTGTATATTAGAAATATGTATATATATACATGATTTTTCTCTTCGGCGTTACGAGATATCTAGGATTTTCCACGGTCTATGATTGATTGTGAGAGAAGAAGAGAGCTTTGTAGGACAGTATGGCGTGGATGACGCGTCCATCGTTGGTGGACATTTACGCCAGGCGTTTAGGCCAATGTGAGCGCGTAACGATTTATACGAAAGTACGAGAACGAAACGAGGGGTGAGCGAACGAGATCGCGCCGAGTGAGAGAAGTTTCGCGCCCATTTTGGAAAGTGGTCGCATGCAAGCGTTTGATCTCTCGCTCTTTCTTGGCAGCCTTGAAGTTCCCTTGTAAATCCCTTTGCCGATGTAGCCGAGCTACATAACTCGATTTTGCTCAGCTCTCGAAGACGACGACGACGACGACGACGAAGAAGAAGACGAACTCGGACTTCGGACGATCCCGATCGTGTACAAGTATTATTCCGGCGCTCCATAAACTCTTCATCACCGTATTTGGATCGTAATAGTGATACACCAAGTTCGATACTTGTTTATGTTGGTACATACATACTATAACGTGTTTCTCTTCGTTGTCAAACCGTGAATTTGTGAGTTAATCGATCCTCTGTTGTATATCGAAAATTACGATTTTTCTTTCGAAGGCAAGAATATCTTTCTTCTTTTGACGTATAACTTAAGACATTCGATGATAAGCGAAGGAATTTTATACTACAGTCGAAAGCTGACAGGGTAGTCCTGGCTACTAATTCAAAGAATTGCGAATTAACTTGAGTTTCTGTACGATCGTAATGTAACCACCACGACGAGCAAAGCGTTTACGATCGTTGGAATTTAATGTCCCGTCCGTGAGAATTATTAATCGGCGAATGTACTGTTTTCTTTTTTTCATTTTCTACCGGTAAAAGTCGTAAATTGTTCCAAGCGATGCTGGAATCCTCTCGTACATATATACACATGTTGGCACCCACATATACGAAGAAAGAAAGAAAGAGTAAGAGAAAATTTATATACACGAGGGTCTACGAACACGCGTGAGTCATGCGGATATTTCCAACGAGCATTCGATGATTGGCTACTGTAACTGGAAAATATGAAGTATCTAACTGTTCTCGACATTCTTTTTTTCTGAACAATTTATGAGAAAGAAGAATTTTAAGACGAATAAGCGGCAATAGAAGTATGTACGAAATCAATTTTTTTTTTACATTTGAAAAAGCTCGACGACCATTTATCTCTCTTTCTCTCTTCTCTTTTGCTGAAAATAACAAGAAGAAAATATCATCTCAAGAGATCAATCGACCTCGATCCATCAAAATTTCCTGTACTACGTTTCATTCCTTTCGTCAGTCTACGAAACTTTTCATAGAACGCCTACGCGTTTGTCTCTCCGAGAATGCACAGTGGAATCCAAGAGGGACAAATAATAAGACAGACAACCAACGGGAACATAACGCGCAAGTCGAGGAAAAAAAAGGAGGCAAGTGAAGACGTAGAATCTTTCTATACAAGTATCGTTGACCTTGATTCTCACTGCACTGACCTTGATGTGGTAATAGGCCATAAATCTCTATCTTTATGAAGTCATTCTTTCGCGTATGAACGAACCGTGAAGCGGCGGCACACAGGGCTCGTCCGATTTTAGTTTTTTTTTTTTTTCGTTATTCGAATTTCGTTTCACGAGTTTCTCTTCGCATCATCGATACATTAACATATTTACGAGAAAGTCACGTATTCTCGACGAATCTCGCTATGTAAAGAGGAACTTTTTAAATACTACTTCATGTTTGCAAAAACTTCGGAAGGCCGAATCGTTACAGGAACGCGCACAGAACACCTTTTCTTTCTTTTCTCGATAATAACCTTGTTTGTTGATAATCGAAGAACTGTAGAAGAGTCTGAGGTGCCTGAAAAAAGCTATGATACGAAACGTACGACATCGTTTGCATAACGAAGTGTCAGTCAGGGGCTTGGCCACAACATAAAAGAAATTAGCTTGATATTTATTCAACCGAGTCGAAGTTTATAACGACTTTGTCGAGCGTTCGGTCTTAATTATCGTATCTTCTCTCTTCTCTCAATTATCTTAGCACACGCGTATTTTGAATGCTTCTTTCTCTCTGCGTCTTGAAAATAAAGAGAATCGATTGGGGATTCACCTTGTCCAATGGAAATTACATTTTGCTCGCATATAATATCTCATCGATCGTTCATCACCTTTTCCATTCGATGACTATGTGAACGTAATTTTGAATCATTTCTGATAATAATAATAATAATAATAATAATAATAATAATAGTAATAATAATAATAATAATAATAATAATAATACGAATTACATGATAAGAATTTAGAATAAGTTGATGAAAATGAAAAGATCGAAGAACGCAAAGAAAATCGAATAAAATTGTCGAACGAAATCTTTCGAATAAAATCAAATTGGTCGCATTTTTTGTCTTTTTACGTTTTCGAAATCAATCGTTTTCCTAATGGTTTGTGTAAGTACATACATACTTACATGCATACATATGTAACTTACATATGTAACTTACATATGTAAGATATAAAAAGATCGAAAGAAATCTTCGCCAAGAAGTCTTCGTGTTTCTCGCGTTCTCACAGATAAAGAAGGCAGATGCTATAAATTGGCACAAGAAACGAGCCGGAATGGTGGAGCAAGTCTCACAATTTCACGCAAGCTCGATCTCAATGGTTCGCGGTTTTTGTTGGTCGATTTTAAACGGCAAATCGGGATGGCCGAATCGTCGAAAGATGCGCGTCTTTCCTTTATCTGAATTTACCGTAAATGGCAATTCCAATTTGTTTTCCGCTCGATTATCGGATCGTTCTCCGCGGGAAAGACCGACTTGATCGTAATTAAGCCTCTCTCTTTCTTTTCTTCATTCATTCATTTTTTCTTTATTTCTTTATTTCTTTCTTTCTTTCTAAGAATAACGAAAGGTTCTTCCTGAAACGACTTGAGATTGTTCGCTGTGGATAACAAGTAGTTTTTCGTTCAATTCAAAGTTTCTCTTTTTTCCTTTTAAAAATAACCTACATCTCTAATTGATATGGTTTTTTTTTCTTTGTACAAATAAACTGTACATAAATTTTCTTTTACTTTTAGTATTATTATATTATTAGTTTATTGAATTACTAGTAAATATAAGATTTTGTTCTTTAAATGTAAACGTGAGAAAAGAAAAAAGGAAGGTTTAAAACGTTTCAAACGAATTATGCGACAATGATTACGTTGGAAATTTTCTGGTTATTTTATAGAAGAGACAATTACATCGTAGGTACTAATAACGCAGCAAACGATAATGATTCACGATGCAACCTTGCGTTTTCATTAATTCTATACCGATCGCATTCAAAAAGCACGAGAGAAGATTAATGAGCGAATCAAAAGGCATCGTACGCCGACTATAAATTTCTTATTCCAGCTAAGTAAGAACATATAGTTGTCTTTTGCTAATCGAGATTAGCAAATCATTCGAAAAATAAATAATGATTCGTAGAATTTATTATTCATTCATTAGAATAATAGTCGTTAGCTCATTGTGTTTAATTACGAATCGTTGATTTGAGATCACTATCATTGCTTGTTTATTAATTATTAATTACAAATTGATCAATTAAAAACGATATATCATATTTGATTGTCAAGACATAGAACAATCTTGAGAGAATGAATCTACGAAATCGATGCAAACGTTTATAAATTAACTCATCTAATTAGTGAGGGAAAGAGATTCGCATAAATATTATCTCGCTAATATATCTCGATAATGGATACTCATATATTTATTGTTAAGGGAACCAAGTTTTTAAATTTATCGAACATAGAAGGATACAATAATTATCGATATCGAGCGATTGTCAAGAAACAAGATTTAATATGTTTCTTGACTAATCGTTCGAACGTAATCGAAGAATTTATCATCTACGGCTCATGGTATATCGATCGAATAAAGTTTTTATTCTAAAAATTTTACGATATAGTATAAAATACTTTGACGATTGTATTTTTAATATATTGAAAGGATTAGTTTCGACTAGTTACGAATCGACATTATTGACGTAGGTTTGAGTAAAGCTCCAGTTCGAGTTTCAGTTCGAGCTCGAGTGAATAGAAATGCTGTAGATACTTCGAAGGAGAGAGAGAGAGAGAGAGAGAGAGAGAGAGAGAGACAGAGAAAGAGATAGAGAGAGATAGAGAGAGAGAGAGAGAGAAAGAGAGAGACAGAGAAAGAGATAGAGAGAGAGAGAGAGAGAAAGAGAGAGACAGAGAAAGAGATAGAGAGAGAGACAGAGAAAGAGATAGAGAGAGAGAGAGAGAGAGAGAGAGAGATCGACGAAGTGCGCTCGAAGGAAAACGGCGGAACTTTCTGGTGCCATGACGGCGAACTCAGTTCCGGGATCCGGATATACGAGAAGCGTGACAAGACCGCTTCGACCTTTTATGGGTCGAACTTACCTTGATGTCCAAATGGGCGATATTTCTCTCATGGAGGTAGGCAAGTCCTTCTACTAGCTGCCTCACAAAGTGGACGACGTCACCTTCGAGGGGCACCAAATCACCGTCGATCAGAGTCTGTAGATCGCCACCTGGGGCACTGAAAAGTCACGCCTTTCGTCACGCCTATCCTCGCCTTTCAAATCCTCTTATCTTTATCTCCGTTTGTTCTTACGAATCGTTAAAAAAGGAAATAAAAATGGAAACAAAGGAAAAAAAAAGAAAATAAAAGAACAAGACTCTCACAATTCCATGACCATAATGATCTCCTTCAGTGTCTCGTATACATCGTGCAACCGAACTACCCGAGGCGATTGTGAGCAGAGAGACAACAGGGCGATCTCGTGTCTTAATTCGGCGCTGCAATCGGCGTTGAATCTATTCCTGGATGAATACTTTGCCGCATAAACCGTGCCCGTAGATCGAGACCTGCAGCGATATACTCTCGCCCACTGTCCGCTGTAAAAAAGAAGAAAAAAAGGAAAATAGAGAAAAGCAAATTACGTTAACGAAAAAGTTCCATTCGTTGATCTAAAAAAAAAAAATTCATTCGAGATCGAAGAGATGAGTGAAGTCGAGATTCGATTCACGACACAAACCGGCGACTTCGATGCTCACGAACGAAGACGCGTCTCTTATTGCAGCAAGGTCGACGCCGCGGCGCCTGACAAGGCTGCTGCCTTCCTAGCGCGTATCTCGCATTTTCGTTTCGCCTTTATGCACGAGAGATTTTTATTACGCAAATCCGGCATACCGAAGGAACGTCATTTGAAACATTTCAAATTTCAAACGCGTCTTTTAATCGCATACGACAACTACTCTTCAATACAATAAAGATATATATATATATATATATATATATATATATATATATATTTGATTTTAAATTTATATCTCGTTATTTCATGAAAGCAAGAAGCAAGTCATTTACATTACGATCTACTTGTTCGTTCGAGATAAATTCGATAAAACAAAAAAGTAGTCAGTCGCGATTAACTTTAATCGCTTTCAATTTTCCTCGAGAAGTACAAGTACGCAACCCCTAGAGAATGAAATATTAAGATGGACATGTAATAAAAGGAGAAAGGAAAGAAGTATAATTTCTAGACGCCCTTTTACCGTGAATTCAAGGCTCTCTTCTAAAAGCAATTACGACGAATCTTGATATCGATGAAGACGCGAGTATATCGTGGCTGGAATCACGAAACGTGTGCCCTATATACGGTCTCGCGTCGCATTATTCTCTCGAACGAGATCATTAAAGTACTCTCCGATTATTAAAGATCAGAGTGTATGCGCGGGATCGTAGAAAATTAGATTTCATCGATCGGCACTCATCGAGAACGCACGAGTTGGGAGCGCTAAAGTAGAAAAAAATCGAACGTGTACGTAAAGATAACGAAACGTTCATGATGGTGAATAATTTTATGAAAATTTATGTGTGATATTTCTAATTTTCTTGTTTCCTTTCCCTCTTCCCCTTTCCCCTTCCCTCTCTTTCTCTCTCTCTTTCTCTTTCTCTCTCTCTCTCTCTCTCTCTCTCTCTCTCTCTCTCTCTCTCATTGATGTTTTGAAATAAAGTTTAGCTTATATACGATCGTATATAATCAACAGAGATTGCGAGTTGCGATATTAATGTAAAACAGATAATAAGAATTTATTTACAAATACATGTGTGTATATACTTAGGTATATAGGCCTAATTGACGATTTCTAACACATCCGGGATAAAGAAATCGGGTACGTTCCCTGGACAATTGATAAGTCGACTTTATTCGTATACATTCATTACCGATCGTGAAAAAAGATAGAGAGAAATATTTTTCTTTGTCAGAGTTCTTTAGAAAATCTATGTCGTTTGATCGCCTTTTACGACTCGTCGTTTCTCTTTACGTACTCAACGCATACGTGCCGAATCGATTTTGTAGCAATGATTTTCTAATACACAGAAAGCCGTATTAAGAAAAGCGCGAGAAATTGCTACAGCTACCGTAATTGGTGTTTATTGACGGGTGGTCTACACTCGTACAGGTATAAAATCATTTTCATACTGATCGAATTTCGATAAGTCTCACGAATCAATTGGACTAATCAATAAGGTGTTTTTATTTATTTATTTATTTATTTATTGTCTTTTTTTCTTCCTATTTTGTAAATGACTAATTTGTCGCGTGAAATAATTGTGCTGAACGTAATCGGCCGTTTATTATACTTACTAGATAACGCGTGAGATACGGGAAGGTTAATGAGAAAGGAAACGATCATTTTCCTAATTCGATGAATGAGTTATAACGTTTATTATAACATTGATAACCACCGAGAAGAGAATGAAATTACATCGAGAAACATATCTTCGTTATTTCTATGGAGTTTAACGCGAAAAGAACGCTTACGTACTTACATTAAGTATATACGATAGATAAGCCGCTAAGTGAATCGACTTCATTAGAGAAATGCTAAAGCACGCCGAGACAGTTGCGACCGATAGGAGAGTCAGGTAACGAGTTATCAATGCATGCTGCCACCACCCATTAAAAGGATCATTAACATATCCATGAATATGAAACGACAGAAGGTTCATCGATGATCGATTATGAGATTTCGGTGTCTCGTCACGTTTTCCAAAGGGCTAAAACGTTTGTAAGATATTACGTATGATTATATGTAAGTAAATACCTATATATGTGATTATATACGTCAAAAGAAAAATCATTGGGTCTTATATTTTTGATTTGAAAATCAGAATATTTTCTGCCATATGTTGATGGTAATAATAATCGTTTAAACCATATTGCTCTCCCTATATTTCTATCTGATTTGGTCCGTGATAGAATGGATGATACGCGGAAACAAAAGGAATCCTAATTTCTATACTGTAACTCATGTTCGAAATTCCACATTGGATCTTAATAAACTTTTTACATGTCGACAGAAAATACATTCTTGCTAATCGATGCCATTACGAATGCTGTTAAGTTGTACCTACATAAATGTCATAAATAATACATAAATCTATATCTATTTTAGATTTTTAATATTCCCAACGAAAAATGTCCACGTAGACACGTATAGATTTTTCAACAATCTTATCATTGTGTCAAAATAACACATAGATTGTGAAAGAAGAACAATACGTTTGTCGTTTAACTAAGATATTCGCATCTATCGCGTAATTCTAAGATTCGACGACGTATTTCTGACGGTTTTTTTTTTTCAATTCTCCAAATAAAGACGCTGGAATCGAATTAATGCTGGCATAAATAATCGCGAGTCATCGTTTATTCAGTCGGTATTGCATACAAAGCCAGTTATTGATTCTCGCAATGTTAGAAACAAGCGCCATCATTCGCGAGAAAGAATAATCGTTCGCAATCGATCGAATGAATTTCTTCCCTCGTTCTTTATCTATCTCTTTCTTCCGATCAATTCTATATAAAAATGTCGATGCAATTGAAGAATCGATTAAGAGACGAGTGTACCATCTTGTATTTTCAATTCGGTGTGTGGGAGTAGTTTCGATCGTAAATAATCTCCTTTCGTTTCCATAAGTCATAACAGACGGCAACGACGATTACGAGCGACGATTGATTTACATAAAATCATATGGCAGAAGATCGCGGAACCAACGGTGTTCTTTAATGTTAATAAGCACGCTTACAATAACTATCTCCGTTCAGACAATTTGATCTATACCAATTTAATAATAATAATAATAGTAATAATAATAATAATAATAATAATAATAATAATAATTATTATTATTATTATTATTATTAGCTAATCCGCGCGATTCTTCAGGTCTGATGCAATAAATATGATTAATGTACGACGTATGGTGGCGCGTCACGTATCATATCTCGCGTCTGCTACCGCGCGTAACATCGTGACAAATTATATATCACAGTCGAAGTTAATTAATCATTGTCGAAAGATCACATGTAACGCAAAAATTTTCTTAAAGATTTTATTCTATTTGAATGTATTAAATTTAATCATTTAACAGTGTGACTTCATCGAATCGTTTCTATTCTTCTTTCATATCTATGACGTGTTCGTTATTATTTCGATATGCGTCTTACCTCGCAAAAGGTTTTGAATCGATCTCATAGTGCTCGGTGATCGGTCCGGTTTTGACCACTCTAGCAAGTTGAGCCTCCTGAACAAGAACTAAGCCCTCCTTCACGTGGTTCTCGCTCCACTGAACTCTGCATCTTCCTCTACACCTCTCCTCACCGTGGGTTCTCTCCGCAGTCCCTCCTCTCCTCTTCGAGTTCGCGCACTTCGAGGACGATTGGAGATTGCGATGCTGAAACCTCGATGACGTCTTTCTCGTAGACGACATCGTCGATGCTTGGTGACTCGACTGATAGATCATCTTTAATCTTTAATCTTTAATCTTTAATCTTTCTTCTTCCTCCTTTTTATTTTTCTTCTTATTTTTTTTCTGTTTCTTTTCTTTTTCTTTTTTTTTTCCTCAATCTCTTTCTCCTTCTTTCGAAATCCAACGCACGAGCTCGTTAATTATCGTGCCCCGAGGGAGCAACAAGAGAATTCCTTCTTACGATCCTTGTGCGATTTCCAGCGCGATTCGCTGGACATTTCGAGTCTAAGAGATTCCGTTGAGCATTTATCGTAATCGGCGATTGATCTCTCATTAGGGAACCGTTATCGTCGAGTTTCCCGATCGAACGATTTGTTGACGAACCAATTTCGATTTCTTCGATTATCCACCTTTTTCCTCGTGTCTCAATTTCGGAGTTCTTGTTAATCGTGAAATATCGCTAAAGAAGCGTTCGAGGATGATGAATGCTAAATCGCTGAAACGCAAGAATCACTGTATGTATTACGTAACTGAATGACTTTTGAAAGACATCAAGCATATCGTAATTATGTGTCCTTCGTTATGCTAAACGAGCGATCGAATGATCACTTTAAGTTCGATCAACGGAGTTATCGTTTGTAGTAATCTCGATGACGTACAGAAAGATCGCGAAGGCGTTACAAGTGATCGTTTCGCTTGATATTCGAAAAAGAGAATTGAAAAATCAACGCGCACGAAATATAGGTAGATACGAGAGTGAAAGTGGCCTGGGTAAAAATGTGTCTAAAGAATGAATGTGTTTCTCTGTCGTGGAATAAAAAAGATATGTGAAACACTTTGATAAATAAAAGAGAGATAATCACTTAGTGATAACTAATAATAATAATGATGATAATGATGATGATAGTGATGATGATGATGATGACGATAATAATAATATTAATGTTAATGGTAATGATAATGTTAATGTTAATGATAATGATAATAATAAACAATAACAATTTCTTTATAAAATCTTTGATCAAAAATCGACACATTTTATATATCTGCCCATAAAATTTAACGAATATACAAACGATTTAAAAATATTATGAAATTGAAAATATGAAGAAAAGAGAAAACGGCAGAACCATTTGATCGAACTTTTTGAATGATCGATACACCTGATAGATCGTACATCTATAGAAGGATCTATATATTTCGATGGACACCAACGAATCGAATATAAATAAATAAACGATTAATTGCGGGAGGAAAGGAAGAGCGTGAAAAAAAAAACAAAACAACGCACCTCTTTCGTGACTCGACGGAACCAACCGAGTAGTCTTTTCCGTGCTTAGTCGAAGGATCGTTATTGTACTTCACATCCTCGGTACCGATCGACGATGGATCGCCGCCGCGTCGATTCGTGCGAGAGATCGCGAGCTTCACGGTCCAGCGCCGAGCCTGAAACTGGCCAAGAGAGTTGCTGCGAGGCCGTAACCGGCCGAGGTTGAAGCGGCGAGTCTCTGCACGGCATACCCTCCGCTCCATTCTCTCTTTTTTCTTTTTCCTTCTTCCTCTCCTCATCTTAAACGTTCTGCGTCTTTGTCACACTCGACACTGTCCAGACGCGTCCTCGTCATCGACGTTATCTTTGATGTCCCGGTGTCGGAAACGATAATCGAACTTACGACTCAATGCATAGGTTCTATTTCTTTCGAATAGTATTTCATTTTCGTGATGAATATACACATCTGAATTGTTTTCTGATTTGATGATTTTAAAATCGATTATGTAATCTTTGTATATCTCGCACATTAAATTAAAAAAAAAGAAAAAGATAAAATAATAATAATAATAATAATAATAATAATAATAATAATAATAATAATAATAATAATAATAATAATAATAATAATAATAATAATAATAATAATAATAATAATAATAATAATAATAATAATAATAATAATAATAATAATAATAATAATAATAATAATAATAATAATAATAATAATAATAATAATAATAATAATAATAATAATAATAATAATAATAATAATAATAATAATAATAATAATAATAATAATAATAATAATAATAATAATAATAATAATAATAATAATAATAATAATAATAATAATAATAAACAAAAATGAAATGCGATTGATTTTCTGTCGTTTGAAAAAGAAAAAAAACATTCATTTCTAAATGGAGAAAGGAAAAGCGAACGAATCGGAAAAATATATTTTCCTTCGTTTCAAGTAATTTAAAACATTTTAAGAAGATATTTGGGTTTAGTTTAACGATATTTGTTAAACATTTGTACACCATAGGAAAAGGTTTTAAAAAGTCGAGAAAATACTCGATTCTAAGAACCATCTTTGTATTCCAACAACTTCGATAGAAATAATCCAGTTTTACGATGTAAAATCCAGTATTCGATGTACGAGAAAGAAAGAGAGAGAGAGAGGGGGGGGGGGAAAGAGAGAGTGAGAGTATTTACATTGTCCAGGAAGAGGTCCGTGTAACCGGAGCTACCTTTAACTTCTCTCGTTACGATAATCGGGGCCCGAAGCGTCGCTCGTACCGTAATTGGAAATTACCGTATCACTGTGCTACATCGAGAACGTTCTCCATTCGCGAGAAGCGATAGCGCAATCATGTGGAGGACCAGACGCCTATCGTTGGAGTCCTTTCCTTTTCTGGTTTTTTTCTTTAATGCGTGTGTATGCATGCGCGCGCGCATGTATGTATCTATATATCTTCTGCTCTTTATTCTACCTTCGTCCTTGGAAATTTCACACCTGGAAGAGATCCGAATCATGCATAGACCAATTAATTTCGTAAAGCAAAGTATCCTTTTTATATTGTTATTTTTATCTTTATTTAAGCATCGTTTCTATTCGAAATTTCGACGTCAATATTGAACGGACTTTATTATATTAAATTTATTCGAAATCATTCTCACTAAACTTGCAAATGTCAGCAACTTCTAAAAGATAACTATAACCAAAATCATTTCTTCGATGAAAGGCAAAATAAGTGTTATTGTAAAAAAACTTTAGTATGATAATGAATCCGTGGGAGTATCATTACAATAATATTCACGTTTGATTATATTATATCTTTTCTTGGAAAACACGGAGATGACATCGATCTTTAGTAAATACCGCGATCTATGGGCACTGAATTTTAAAAGAATATTATTTTTCAGATGGATTTTTTGTTTTTATCCCTCGAGGGTAGTAACTGCGGAAAATGCACGTGCAAATATTCACGATTCCCGCATGAGTATAGTGACAAGCAATTAGTGCCGACAATTAGTAACGACATGTTCGATCTCTACCGTGCCAAGGATAATTGCTCGTCTATTCGTCGATCGATTATTTTCAATGACGAATGCGAACGTTTGCTCCGTAGAGGACTTCACCTCGAGATTGACAAGAAATTAAACGTTTCGGCCTTTAGTCTATCTGACGCATCATTTTTCAGTAATGTCGATTATATCGAAATTGCTTCCGTTTCCTAGGGAGCCCCCGTATACGTAGTATGTTTTTATTCGACGAAGAAGGAAATTTTGTTTCATTTAAATCGTTATACATTATTCGTAACTGAAGGAAAGGAGATGCTCATTTGAAAGCAAAATTCGCACCGATAGACACATGATAATATTATTCATGAACCTTTCCAAGCGTGCCAAGAGATATTAAAGCCGAACGGAGTGGATTTCAGTTAACGTGAAATCTATTTTGCTATGTCAGTTGGATATCAGCATACGTCACTGTCATTTTCTTGTTTTGAATACAGAACAGGGAATTTAACGCGAGATGTAGATACCTCTACTTTAATGTTATAAAGTTTAGCACGAAGTAACATTTTGATTCATTACGTGATGCGAACTCAAAGTTATTCCAGTATAAAATGATTAAATAATATTTTTAATAAAAATAATGAAAAATAATACAGACAAGACGATAAGTTAAAATGATGACTTTTCTATCAAAATCGTTTGATTCATTAGACGCTTTTAAAGCTGACATCACGTCTCAGTCGATTAGTCAGCTAATTTATCAAGCTTTTATCATGAGATATCTATCAAATAATTCTCATATCCCTAGAGATATTTTCCGCAATTCACACGGAATCAAATATTAAAGTGAAATAAATCTATCTATACTCTATCTATCTATCTATCATTCTCTCGGCTTTCCTTTCCAACGAACGAAGGACCGACGATCTTGCAGAAAGCTCACCATCTATAGAAAAATTTACCGAGGAGACGAGGCCGTCTCTTCGTCGTACGTGCGTACCGTTTGAAATCAATTATCCTCCCGTCTCCCTCTCTCTCTTTTTCTCTTTCTCTCCTTCTCTCTCTTTCTTTCTCTCTCTCTCTCTCTCTCTCTCTCGATCTCTCGATCTCTCGATCTCTCTTATCGTTAATAAGAAAAAGAAAAGTTAAGCGAAACGTCATCATCGTAGTCTTCGTCTTCGTTGGTTAATGATTTCTGTTTATAGATCTACTCACAGGTGCAATAAATTCAAGTACCGCGTCATTGTTGACTTTGATGGCTCGTTATTTGCGCCGATGTCCTCGGTACGATACGTTGACATCTTCACGGCAATAAAGTGGATACGTCTCATTTTCATTTTTGCGAATCAGATGAAAAGTCACTGACTGCGATGACGATAACGAATATGACCTTAAAGAAGTCTATCATTGTCCTTGTACGGGGAAAAGGATTTTATTTTATTCTTTATATTTACGTCTTTAGGATTTCGTCGAGATAAAGATAAAAGATCACGGATATGTAAGTGTGAAACTTGATCTTTCCAGGCGCTTCCTGGCCATGAGAAGGGCGGACAGTACCGTTAATAGAGAATTAATTTGACGTCAACTTTTTTCTAACTATCAAAGAAATAAAAGTCCGACCTTTACCTCGACGAAGGTTTATATCCAGACTCTTAAGAAATACGATATCGACTCGTAAAACTAATAAACTTTGGGTCTAATCGTTGTTATCTAAGTAGTTATCGATTAAACGCTTATTAGTGGCACGATGAAAGATAAAACATGGTTCGTGAGATAAAGACGAAAATTTGTCAGCCACTGTACAACTATAAATAACGAACTTTGAGAAGATAAAGACACCAAAAAGTATCGCTATTAAATAAGTCTTGCTAAACGAACATCGATCTATATCATCTTTTTATTTTCTATGAGTATGTGTATTACTATAAATGTACATAAAAAACGTATGCAGGTAAGTACGTACGGATCTATATATAAGTATATAAGAGAAATGAATAAATTAACGCAAATATAATTTTGCCGGAATTAATCGTTAAATTGGAGTTTTATTACTTTCCCTTATTTACACACACAGGACGCCGTTTTATGACTTCTCGCCGGTAAACTACAAAATATGTGCTAAAATACGAACGATAGGGAAGTATTAATCTCTTCGTATATACATATGTAGTAACTACGTATGTAAGTATACGCGACAAACGGAGATAGATAGATATGATTTTTGGTTAATGCAATCTCACGAGATCCTTAATTATTGTAATAAGAGAAAAAGCTTGAATTTGAATCCGAACTCGAGCTCGAACTCAAATTATAAATATTTAGTTCCTCTTGGCAATCCTCTTTGGCGAAATAAAATGATCGGGACAGCGCGCCGTATGGAACATTTGAACAATGATGCGATTATTCGAGAAGAGATCGAGTCGCGTTACTCGCTTTATAAATCGCAAAGCGACAAAGCGTGTACGAGCGAGAGCAGTTCGCTGATCTTAGAGAACAGATATAGACATGGGAGATGAATTTATTAAGCCATTTCTTCGATCGGTACTTCGTTTCTCCGCACGGTCTATCGTTGCTAATTACGCTAGATAATTCGCGTAGAGGAGAATTCACGAACGAAAGCAAGTCGTTACGAACGATTTAAGAGAGGAGAGAAAGAGAAAGAGAGCAAGAGAAAGAGAGTACAAAAAAGAAAAATATATATATAAGAAGAGAAAGAGGACAAAAAGCTCTTCTATCTCATAGAATGCAGTCTTTGTGATAGACATCGGGCGCCACTTTCTTTCTTGCTGTTTAATCAATGTCAGATACATAAGTTTAAAGAATAAATTTTTCGCGGTCGACTATTTTTATCGATATATCGCTTGATTCTTTTCAAAAAAGAAATGCCCTAACGACTCGTAAGTGTCCTGAACAAAGGGTTTCCTGTTTTGAACTTAGTCTTGAACATCTTTACGCAAATCTTTGTGTATGCTCTACGAATCATCTTTCTAACAGTCAAAACATTTAAAAATTAACGCAGTCACTCTGCTATAAGAAAGATAGAAAAAAAATGAGAAAAGAAGATAGCCAGTATAATATATAACTAGTTCCGTTTAATGAGTCCGCATTTTAAGGGCCAACCAGTTGCTAACGGATCGTATAAA